TGTGTAGACACCTGCTGTGTAGTCGTGGAGTGATTGTTTTAATATTTAATATTTTTCTGCTTGTAAAATTTTCCGGCATTAAAGAAGTTTTCAGTACAATAATAATATTATTTTCTTCTCACCGCATTATTCATAATAATTTTAAAAAATTGATTTTTACATTTAATAATCACTTAAGATACTACATGCTTGAACAAGTGCGTTGTGATGATTAGATATTCTGATTGGCCAGTATCTATGATTTTACAGTGTCTATTGTATGTTTGGCTTAATTTGTTAATATAATGTCTGGGGATATTTCAGTTACCCTTGACAGCATTGATTTTGGTACTGACATGAAAATTGTCATTTTTAGATTAAAGCTCCATGTAGTTACAAGTAAAGATATTGATATTGCCTGGAAAGTAATCCCGTCTGGTGGTATGGCAGAATTTTTGTATCCTCATGAAGCAAAGATCACACAGAGTTTATTATTACTCTGGGCCTAGGTACTATATGGTGCAGATTATAGGCATGGCAAAAGTAATGGGCACTAATTGTATTAATACTGTGCATGGTTTCAAATTAATGTGCATCACTCTCACTTCACCTCCGGAGGTGGATTGATGTAGAGTGATGTTGGGGCGATCAATGTAAACCAATAGCAACAAGAACACAAAATGATGCATAATTCAATTCAGCTGCTAGTATATACAAGTTTTCTTTTTTAGTGGTTGGATTTGGATGGCCCGTGGCAGACTAGAGTCACTGAGTGCATGTGGTGTCTGCACTCTGCACTATATAGCTTTCCTGCTATATAAGTATGGTAATTTCAGGTTATGTACTCTTAATAGGGTTGAGAGGATAGAAAGTACAGGTCACGGCTATTACATCATTTGTATAGTAATCCGAAAACCTCTACGTTTTGATCAAAATGGTATTAAAACATCATGCAAACATATAAAGTTGACCAGTTAATATAATATAAGTACCATACCAGTATAATATACCAGTATAATATACCAGTTAATATGAGCCATGGCTAATGTATGTAGTGTCTGCACTCTGCACCATGTAACTTTCCTGCTATAAATATGTTAATTTCAGGTTATGTACTCTTGATGGGGTTGAGAGGATAGAAAGTACAGGTCACAGCTATTACATCATTTGTATAGTACTTCGTAAACAAGGAACTTCCTTCACTTTTTGATCAAAATGTCATTAAAACATCAAAGCAAGTATAATTTAAGCATTCCTTCCTCTTACAAGCAAAAGGAGTTGACTGGTTAGCAAACCAGTCATGGCTAATGTAAGTATTAGTGTTCACAACACTGGTGTTGATAGAAACATGCGAATCCATTGTTTTTTGAATATAAAATTGACAATTAATGCAATCAACAGTAAAACATATCATATTTGCCTGAAATACATTCATGCAGGTCTGGTATAACCACTCATCATTTTTGTATCCTCAAGAAACTAATGTTGAAGTCCATTATTACTCTGGCTCAAGTAAAACTATTTCTGCTTTACAATCTGAGGAAGCAAAAGCCCCTAATACTACATGGGATTACATAGCAGACACTGAAGTATTAAGGATTAATAGTGCCCAGTGAATTTATAATGTATTTTTTTGCTTAGATTCTGCTCTTATAAGATCAGATGGTACATATGCTA